ATTCGCACCTGCATACCTTCACATTTGAGGTCTACCTAACCACATATTTTTCCCAACATCTTCCTTTCACTCCTTTCTTGACAGCTGTTTAGCTTCGCAAGTTTGTAACAATATACTTGGTCTCACCTTTGACTTGTAGCTTAGGTACTAGATCTAGGTGAGAGAGCTACCTAAAGATCTTTTGGTTTTCATTTTGGACAAGATCCAAGATGGTTCTTCTAACCACCCACACATGAAACCTTGCAAGATAAGGGAGGGCTGGCCTGCAACTCCATTACATTTGGCTTTTTGGATGCAACTTTGCCCTCTTCAGAACAACTGAGAATAAACTAGACAATTCTTGGAGAAGATAGACACTACCCTCCTCTGTATTGCTGCTCCAAGGTCCTCTGTTTCCCTATCAGTCCAGAGTGCACAGAGTGTGGTGGGGAGAGGCGCACCAAGTGGAAACCAAGTTTGATTAACACTATCTATTCATTCACTTTTTACACTTTTTTGTTTGTTTGTTTGAGTAGGACAAACTACCAATACACATCAATAATGTGTTCTCATTTTTCCTCAAAACTTAGTGGCACTAACACTAAAAATCTGACCATTGTTTGAGGACTGGTATTTTGAGAATACCAATTGTCATGCTGACAAATACCATCTTCCTTTGCTACCTATTTTAAACTTAGTTTACAAGTCTGGAGCCTTTGTATTCTAAAAGCATGTACCATGACAGAATCCTAGCATGCAATTAAGGTTTCTACATATTTTAAAAAAGCAAAATATGAAGAATAACACAGGATGTTGTCACACAATAGAGTTCCTATTGCCAGAGGTTAGTTATTTAGACTCAGAGTTAGCTAATTTATGTTAAAAGTGAGGACATAGTGTCTTGTGCTCACTAGATCTCATTTTATTCAATTTAAAAGAACTAGGCAATTTCCCCTCCCTCAGCACGTAATGCAGATCATGGCTGAGGAGGATCTAAAGTAATGCTACAGCTGCTTAGCTCTTCCCTTGCACTAAGTTCTGCATTCATTTCTGCTCTAGCCTGTATTTCTATTTTATAATGAAACACACAGCCTAGTTATTTATAGGCTTTCTAAGGATTAACTACACACTCGTAAGAATAAACCCTCAAGAGGTTAACCTCATCCTCTTAAGCTTCACACACTACAATCCCAGAGATAACTGGCAACCACAGCCAAGAGAGAAAAAATAATCCCACATCTTGCTAATCCTTTAGCCAATCACCTCATGCAACAGTAGAGAGGCCTCTCAGAGGCCTACAACTCAATCTGTCTCAAGAGTACTGTCAATCTAAAAGATACATATTTCACAGAACCATTAGCATCCCACCTCAAAAGGCAAAATAAGACCTACCTGGCTACTCAGTGGTACACTGAAATTGTGCATCTAAAATGCAATGCTAAAAAAAGATTCCAGTTTGCTGCTTGTATTTCCTATTCAGATATTTGCATACTCTACTCATAAAACTACCTATTTATTAATTTAAAAGTAAATCTAACAAATTTTGCATTGTTTACATCTAGATAGACCAATTTAACTGTCCCTTATACTTCTTAGCATGAACTTTAGAGTGCCTTTGATTTTCCAGCCAGATCATATCTCTCAGAAAAGAAACCCACCTTCAACTTAAAGCATGATAATCTAATTCTTTCATACCATGACCTCCATTCTTCCTTAACCCCAAATGGGGACACTGCCTGCAGTTGCAGCAGTGCCAAGGAGTTAACAGATGCACTTATCTTTTAAGTCAAAGGTTCCTGTTTTGCTTTTTTTATCTAGCAAAATTGCTACTTCATTCAACTTTAATATAGCAAATATTGAATGGTGGCATTTAAAAAAATGGCAAGGAGGTTGTTTAGCCCCACTGCTACCCCATGGCTGGAAGTTAAAGCCTTCAAGAACATGCAGGCAAAGTGTAAGGCCAGAGGTATGACTGTTAATAACCAAATATCATCCACAGTTCTTACCTGAAGTAAGAATTTTTAATCAACACAGAGGATTAGCACTGCTTACAAGCTCATTGAGTCCAACTATATTAATTTTTTTTTTTTAAAAAAAAGGGTCAATTCATTCATTCTCTTTTGTGCATGCTTAACATACAGATTCCAAAGCCTGGCTTTTGACTTTGTGGGTAAATTCTCTGAAAAATCTCAGTCCCAAGAGACTACAAGTCCCCATCGTCAAGTGTGTTCTCTAATAGGCTTCCACCTTTTCATCTGGAAATTAAAAAAGTGTGAAATAAAGATAGTTCAAAATCATCTTGTATTTCAAAAAGTTGTTCCCACTAATTAAAGGCTTTGTTCCCTTCCAGAATTCATATATGGCTCAGTAACAAGAGGAATTGCTTTAACTCAGGCAAGCCAATTGGGAAACTCTTGAATCATCTAGTGTCAGGAAACAATGGCCCATAAACAGGGAAAGGAAGGAGGGGGAAAAAGGCAAACCCCAACAAAAATGCAGATTTTACCTAATCAAGAGAAACTACACAAGTGAACATCAGCTAGGAAAAATAAACTTTCCCCCTATCCTCAAAATTTAGTGTACATAAGTATCCTCGGTAGTATGATGCCAGAGACTACTCGACTGCAACTTCTACTGTTACAGATTGATCCAGCCTATTTGCATTCTGAAAAGAAGTTTCATGATCTTTCACGCTCATAATAGATGTCTAAACCGTTAAATTACTATTTCTTTTCTTATCTTGAAAGACACTGCACTTTAACAGCATGGCCCTTCCATTGTTCTTTACACTAAGTCGGATCCCTGAACAATACTGACAGCTGCTATCAAACTGCGCCATGCTCACTCTTGGTGCAGCTGCTGCTTGTAGGAACAGACAGGCTTCTGATGTCTCCTCCCCTCTGGGGAGAGGGCTTGACATGCTGCGTGCTCAGTGAGGGGGGAGCAAAGGTCCACTGAATTGTCAACCCAATTTTATGCTATTCAGATTTTCCAGGATGCACACTGTCCCTTTCAAACAAAATCAAGCATATGTCAGAGCATGAAACTTATTGTTACACAAGATAATTATCGATCATGTAAGACTGTAAAACGTCACTGTGACATACATCTAATTTTAGCATTATGTATATGCATACATCTACATGGTCAAAGAAATTTTGTACCCAACGTGTTCATTTCTTCATTCATAATTTTGGATTTGTACAGCATCATTCAGAAGCGTTTCAGAAGACACAGGTGAATCTTCTGGTGAGTCTCTTCTGGTGAATCTTAGATAGTTTGAAAATGAAGAAGGTGGAGGCTTCTATTCCTGCTTCCAAAGAGCTTTCCCCCCTCCAAAGAAAAGTTCTTAATTGCATGTGATACTTTTAAATCCTATTGCTTTTAAAAGACTATATTGTGTAGACTTTAAAAAGAGGTACATGACATGCTTGAGACAGCAAAATTTGGTTTGGCTAAGGAGCACTACCCTAAGTCCAGCAAGAATGTTTTTAAATATATTTTAATACATATTTCCATTTACTGCATAAAATATTCTTTAAAACTACTTCATTAAAAAAGGTTTTTCCATTCCATTTTCATCCTAAAGAAGTAATTCGTTTTAAAAAAATGCAAAAAAGTACAGTTCTCTAATCTTTGTTAATCAAATACCACAAATGTGTGGTATTTCAAAGATCAAATCAGGTTTTCATAAAGTAATTCATTACACAAGCAAAGCATAGAGGAGATTGTGACAAATACAGATGTAATTGTGTGGGTTTCTAAGATGTGATTAGCAAATCAACTAAGTAACAGTCAAAATTTGATACGAAGGGAAAAAACAGCGCAGTTTTGAAGGGGGGGTATGTTTATGCAAAGCTAATCTGTCAAGTGTAATAAAGCAGCTTGAATAAAATTTAAGCTGAAAATCCACTGAAGCTCCCCATTTCAGGGAGGAAAAGCTATTAAAAGGAAATGAAGGTCACCCTCCCAGTTTATTTCACCTAATTGACTGCCAATAGCTTACCACAGGCAAACCGACTGCAGATCTGCAATTGAGAAACTGATGAAAGGAGAGTTTTCAAGCTGAGGCTCATTCTTTTAATCCTCCCTCACTTCTATTTTTTTTTTTTTCCATCTCCAGTTGGGATGTAATTTTAAGCACAGATGGATTAACTGGTTCCATTGTCTGTAGACGTCATTGGACTATGGCACTGTTAATCCGTACAGCAGCATGTCTAATTATCATTACAAAGTGTCTGAGGGAACTATAAAGACCAGCAGGGCATCTTCTCACAAGCAATTAACATAAATTGATAAATGAGTAATTTGAATCCGCTCAAGGCGCTCACATATGAATAAAATCAGAAAGGACGGGTTCTTGTTTCAGCTACTTCTTTCACTTAGTCTGGAAGGGCAGAAAACATGAGAAATATTCTAGACTTAGTGGCGGGGGAAATGAACTCATGCAGTGGAAGGAATGTATGGTTCAGAAAGTTCATTAATACAAAGCAAATGACTTGTGATTGACAACCAGTCACAAGCAAGTACTATTAACTTATTTCAGCATATTTAGAAGCACATAGCTGGTGGAAGGCTATTAGAACACTGTGTCAGACAATTAATACTACTTCAAAAGCAAGTGAAGTTTCTTTTCAGTAGCTTGCTAATTTAAAATTCATGAAAGATTCACAAGAAAGGGAAAGAAAGAAGAATGAATAGTTGTACAGGCTCCAAGAACTCAAGTGTCACAAAAAGCATGAGGCAAAGGTAACTAAATCAACTGACATACAATACCTTCAAATAAACAAGCAAATCTCCTAATCATTATATTTCTTGCAGGAAAAGTTGTTCCACACAGCATTGCTCCACAAAATGATGTTCTGACAAAGTAAACTATAAATTTTATCCCTGCTAAAATCCATGTAAAGCAAGGCAAACACTTCAGCAATACTGGGCATCAAAACAGTGTTAGATATCAAAACATTAAGCTTATTTTAAAAATAGCAAAGCAGTAAGATATGAAAGCAAGTTATACACACTGTAGGAGGTAGACCTGGAAGGCCACGTACCCCGATGATGGCATTCAGTTCAGCCATGGTCACTTGTTTGGCACGTTCTACAGCTTGGGCCACTTGCTGCTGATGCTATTAAAAGAAGAAGGGGTATAGGGAGGAATTTTAGTTAAGGTATTGACCACACCATATCAAACCAGGATCAAACACCTGAATATCTGGTTTGTCTGGAGAAGCCCAGGCTACCTATTGCAAGACGTCTTATGCAGGTAAAAGGTAGCAGTGCCCTATTTCTCACCTGCTCAAAAGCAAACAAGAGAGCCTTGAAGGCAACCAACTCACCTCTTCCCCCATGCCATTTCAATATTAATTTTCTTGCAAACGAATAATCAGTTTCTAATTCCGTTGAAGGGACAATAATGTCAACTTCACACTAGTGTCAATTTTAACACTTACATACTCTGTGCCCACACAGCAAAACCTACTGACATTTCAAACAGGGAAAAGAAGTGCTTTACTGAACTCATCAAGAATTACAAATACTCTTTGTAAACTGCGGAGTTTGAAAAGGCATATCCAAAATTACAGGTTTCCAAGTGTAACAGCAGCTGCCCACAACATGCTACAATCGCAGTCATTCAGACCAGATGTAAGTTTGTAACCTTAAACAGTGTTTTGAATCTGAGCTAACTACTCACCTTTTACACTAAAATGTGACACAAATTATGTAGACAAGATAAGCATGCTTATTTCACTAGATTCACATTTGACAACTGAGTATCAAATAAGCAATCAACATGATGAGAAATGAAAGCATTTTGTTGCATTGGTAATATTTTACAGACTCACACTCTCCTCAGGCAATGAATGAGGCTGAGCCATTGTCACTAGTTTGAACTCAGATTTGTTAGACGAAATTAGCAGGGGGTTTGCACACTTCAGCTATAACAGATGTTCCTTACACTTGTGTATTGTGATAAAATTAACATCTTAAAACTAGCTAATTTGCAAACAGAAAAGCAACATAATTGCACTTTAACAGCTGAACAGTTTTACTTACTTCCTGAGACAAAAATGGGATGACTTGTGCACAAATTGTATTCAATCTCTTGGCGATTTCTGTCTATAGAGGAAAAGTATTTGATTAAAACTGTGTTTTAGGTTTATTGCCATGTATTAACTAGTATACAGGATTATATTAAGTTCACATGGTGAAGAAAGTAACAAAAATCCGCATCTTCATACTACTGCAAATATAAATAGTTAATATTAAGCCCGGATGAGGACAGAGATTTAGTTAGCTACTCTGGGACATCTGCCATGTCTAGAGCACCTAATCTGTATACACATTTAGGCACAAATCTGGTCCTTGTACATAGCTCATTAACAAGTAAGCATTTTTGAAATCCATTAAGTCCAAGATAAAGCCTTTTAAAAGGTAGATGTACTATTACTCAAATTATCAAGCAGCATACCATGAAGGTGACAGGCATGGGAGAAAAATGTTTCTTTCATGATCAATTTTATCTGCCTATTAGAAGGTAAAATGAGTTTTGCTGACAGAAACACACCATCAGAAGTACAAAAGAAATACCAAAACAGAAGCAAGGCAGAATGGAGACAAAAGGTACAGGCTTCTAAAACATCCATATTGAGGGAGAATTAAAATAATGCAGACAAGAAAAAGAATCAGATCAGAAAATGTGATAGTCAATAACAGCAAATTAGTGAAACTGTAACAGAATAACAATAAGCCTGGGAACCAGCAGAGAACAGAACAATCCTTCACTGAAAGCAGCAGAGAAGGCAGCAGGACTAAGTGTTTGAGTCCCACTTTGACAGGTTTACGTGTCTCCCACTTTTTTATCTCCCACTTTTGGCATGTCAACTTGAACGCAGTATTTCTGCTGGAGTACAGGGATCTTTTTCTCTCATACTCAGTCTTACCTATGCTTACAGCTTTTCAGACCTATACATCTGTCCACCATTCAGAACTACCATTATAATTAACCCTCAAGGTACTTGCACAACTCCTACCGTTTTCCTTAAAAACATTTCCTGCAGTCACTGTAGCATAGATGCACAAAACCAAAATTAGCATCCAGATGTGAACACAGCCTACATACAAGACACTCTGAACAGTTCTTGCCAGTCTGTCATATCATTAATCCATATAGATATTTCTTGGTGTTTTTAAGACACAAGAAACAAGAGATTCCTGCTCAGAATTGTTAGGCCTTCCATGAAATGATATGCATAAAACTGAGCAAAGACAAACTCTTTCAAAGAAGTCAGATGAAAACATTGCTAACTCATCTGCTGAGCCTTCTCATCATACCAAGTTTTTTAGAAAGACACTGCAATGTGCTGATCCTTATGTATCAGTCAAGTAGTAATTAGGATACAAAAGCCACCCTCCACTTCTGTGTCTCAGCAGACAGGTGATTTGGGATCTAAATACAACTAGCAAGCTTTAACACCTCTTTCCCCACCTCTAACAGACACAGGGAAAATATTTGGCAGCATTGAGACTTGTAAACCACCACGTCTCTCTGACACAAGCTGAAGTACTGCCCCCGACCAAACTCTGGCATTTGACACATCCACTCTAAAGTTTTGTGGAGACAAGAGTCTCCGAAGCAGTTCTGGGATGGTTTCTTGCTAGGACAAAAAGGTTCCCCTTAAGTAAGGGCAATGAAGTGACAGTTGCTTTACAGCAAACCTTCTTTTCCCTGCAACAAGGGGAACTGATCTCTGTTCTCAATAGAAACAGCTACCATTTCACACAATACCACAGCAGTCTGTTTCTGTTTTGTTTGGGCCATGACCATAAAATATCCATCATTCTGTGTGTGGCCTTTATGATACCAGCAAAGGCAATACCAGGAAGTTACCAGCTTAACTATTATCAGCTATCGGACTGAACTATTACCAAATCTGTTGGTACTTTCAGTGTCTGTTAACAAGAGAGGAAAAAAACACCCCACAACACAAAAACACACGATTGTGAGAATCTATGTACTCAAGGGCGTTTTTCCACATACTTGGTATGTTTCTCCAGAAAATAAGGTATGAAAGCTATGGAAAGAAAGTCTATTACATAGCAATCTGTTTGGCTGATGTTTAGCTAAGATGTTTAGCTAAGATGTTTAGGGTCCAAGAAGTTAATTGCCCTAGACGAATGGGATTACCTTTGTTTTCAGGACAGAAGCCAGGATGAATCATAGCAGGTGATAAGAGAGGAAAGAAAAAAGTAAAATAAGAAACCAATTTGGTTTCTACTGAAAAGTTCTTTGGCCTGTATAGCCTAGACAAAAGTCTCCCTATTCTGTAATATTGAGATAAGTACCCTTATTGTAGCCGCAAGAAAAGAAAGTATATTTTCAGTAGTCTATAAAACATGCAAGTTCTCTGCATTACTGGGTTTTCCTGCACAGGTCCCAAATAGCTGAGCTTCACAGTAATAACATAGCATATAGGACAGCACACAGTAAGACAAGAGAACGCAACATCATGCAATAATTACCAGTCCCAACACAGGTCAATTATATTTTTAAATATTTATTTATTTAAAAAAAAAAAAAGGGTGCATAATCAACTTTCCCCCTATCCCAGACAATCTTACTTTAAAATTATTGTCTCAGTACTATCATACCTGACTCAATATCAGAACTGAAAAAAAAAAAATGTACTCTGAGTTTGTCTTTACCAAAGCAGTGTATCATTGATGATCACATATGAACAACATCCTTAATATTCATCCACAGTGCTAGGTAAACTTGAAGGTACATGCCATAAGTTTATTTTGATATTTCTTGCTGCTGTTAAGCACCAGTTAAGAAATATTTACACTGAAAGGAAACTGAAAAGACTATTCTACATTTCATAACAAAAGTCTGCTTACATTTAAAGGCAGTCTGCCTGCAAGCACTATTTCCTACACACAATTAAATAAAGTACTTACAATTATTTACCCACTATGAGATTTCATACATCTGTTTGCTGCCCTCAAATGTTTAGTAAAAACTATTCTTATTCACAAACATGTTAAGTATTTTTGTTCTCTAGTGAGTTGTGAAAGTTAGGTTTTAATGCACCATTCTCCTAATCTTGCCCATCAGGAGCTGCAAGAGGTTATTTTCAGAATTGAGATAAAGGAACTTTCGTGACTTTAAATACAAATCTAGCAGTTCAAAAGGTAATATACGTTCACCTTTCAGGGTGAAATATCTTTGAGTATATATGCACACGTGTGTGTGTATATATATTATATATATTCATTCTTGAAAGCAAAAACCTTTCTTGAAGGACTGTAGGAGAGCTTGTTAATCAAGACTAGACATCAGCAATTGGTGGCATTAGAGTAAGCTATATATTCCAGATTTGGGGCTCAAGCATTTGAAAGTCTTAAAAGAAAGGTACTTATCAGTTACTTCTAGAGGCCTCCCAATGTAACATAGCTATTACCTAACTGCTGATCTTGAGACATGTGGGGCAGTCTGAAGAATGAGTAAACAAAGAAAATTTTGCAGAAAGCTGCTCGAGCATAGACAAGCATGACTAATTACCCATGTTCTTTGGCTCCTTGGTAAAGCAGACTGTAGAAGAGTCTGCATCTCTCATGAAAGCCCTTCTAGCTCTATGGCAGCTCTTAGCAAAGCATCTCAAGTGCCCTTAATTGTTTGTGTTCTTAATGCAGAGCCTCTTGAATACATTCATTTTTAATAGACGACTTGAGCGTGGGGCCCATCAAAGAATGACAAAACTACATCATTCACTGGTTCTTGCTGTTGTAATGATTGTCTTTTGATTTATTTGCAAATGACAAGCTTGTCAGACCCCTGACTGAAGTGCTACCCTCCTTTCTGAAGCATCATTAAAAATTAACATGAAGGAATTCAGCTGCATTTTGTAAAATTAAGTTGAGCCAATGGATTTTTTTTTTTCTTCTCTCATGTAATTTTTTTGCCTCCATGCTATCTAATTAAGGACTTAAATGTTTTGACCTAACCATTGCCAAACTCAAGTGTTTGTACTTAAGTTTGTCTCTTGCTAAAGTGAATTCTTAACATAATGACAAAGAGCAAGCAGCCAACTAGTTACTAAATATAATATTAATTTACATAAGTCATTTTACTAAGCAGTTATGAAAGAGCTTGTATATACAATTGTAATTTTTTTCCTTCCATTGTTAAAAAAAAAGGTATTGAAGTGTTTTCCTCTACAGTAGTTATTCCAGATCATTTTGCATTTTGACAGCCTGTACTTTCCAAAGCACCATGTAAGATATTATATTTAAATAAACATGATTTCTTAAACAACTACAGATTTTTGCACTGGAATGAAAAGAAAGAAGTATAATACAAGTATCCAAACTCTTGTCTTTCTTGCCACAGCTAACACCCATATGTATTTTATCACTAATGCTGGAAGCCCTAGCCTACGGGAGCCACAACTCTCACTTCTGAGTGGAATACAACCTTCCTCTGAGGAGAATTAGTTAATCACCTTTCAGCTTCAGAGGTTTCAACAATAACAATTTTGGTTTTGCTCCAATCAGTGTCTACCATACATGTCCCAGTAGTGACTTTAGCTATAGCATCCATGGTGATCTAAAGCAAAAATTAAATCTTACAACACGTTATTTTCAACAATCAGTTTTATTGTGACAGCTGCTCTATTATTAGTACTCAGACTCCTCAAAGCTGTCCAGACCTACAACAACGCTGAGCTAAAAGTGTCCACTGTATGTCAGAAGCTTGTTATTCTTTCTTGCAAACTGCAATTCCCACATCACAAAGTTAGATCAGTATTTGAAACCACTCTATCACGACTTCTTAAGGATGGGCTTACGTACTACATTTTTACTTACTTCACTTATTTCAACCCAATTTTGAGAATCACATTTGTCATTAGATTGGGAAGAACATAGCTTAGGAACAACAAGAAAACCTGAAGTTCTGATGATACCAAAAAAAAGCATGTCCTAATCCATTCCTTTAAGCAAAAGAATCAGAAAATCAGCCTTTAATGCACAGAAAAGAATATACTGTCAAATAACATTCACAAAAGCTTTAGAAGGTAATTCTTAAGTACACTGCCTCCACTTACACTTTCAACATG